AAAACATGTAGAAGAAATTAGGGTGATCTTCAAAACCCAGGGTTGACAGAGGATCTTAGATAGGATACCAACATCCCACGCATCTGAGGGGGAAAGACACCCTGGACTTCACCAAAAAGAAAAGCGTTTGCTCTTCAGAGCCTAGGACACCATTAAAAACGCAATCATAACCCCAAATGGCAGAAGTACTTCAAACTTCCTTATCTGACAAGGAACTAAGATATATAAAGAACTCTTAAAACTTACTAACTGAAAGACCAAAATTTGAAAAGATCTGGATAGATAATTCTTTAAAGAAAAATAAGCACATGAAAGGATGCTCAAGATCATTAGTCCTCAGAAAAAATGCAAATCAAATCGGAGATACATCTCACACCCACGGGAGCAAAGACAATAAAACATCAGAGAACAGTAAGTACCAACCAAGATGTGGAGAACTCAGACCCCTTTCGCATTCCCATGGGAATGAAAATAGTGTAGCTGCTTGGGCAAACGGTTTGGCAGGTCCTCAAACAAAGTTACCATGTGACCCAGAAATTCCACTCTTAGCCATGTATCCTCTCACCCCCCTACCACCCCACCCCCGCCCAAAAAAAGAAAATACGTGTCCTCACAAACATTTGCACACTATTGTTTACAGTGGCATCACTCACAAGAGACGAATAGCAGAAAACACCTGCTGGATGGACAGGCAAAACATAGTACAGTCACACAAGTCATAAAAATGCCACATCACCACCCAATTCTGCACGCAGTAGTTGAATTGGTGTGTTTCCTGCTGGACATAGTCAACAACAAAATGTAAGTAAATTGTATTTTTTTAAAAGGGTTGAAATGTTGACATATGCTACAATATGAACTTTGAAAACATTTTAAGTAAAAGCAGCCAGTCGTGAAGATCACATACTATATAATTCTAATCATATGAAAATCCAGAACAGAGAAATGTAGAGACATGTAAAGTAGATTAATGGTTATTTCAGAGTGCTGTGGGTTAGGCATTGGGACACCAATTTTAAGGTTAGTGGTTCAAACCCACAGCAACTGTACAGAATAAAGATGAGGCTGTTTGTTTCCTGTAAAGATGTAGTCTTGGAAAGCCTATACAGCATTTCTGACACAGAACTGACTTAGTGGCAGTGGGTTTTCCTGTTGATACAGGGTTTTGAAGGCTTTCACTATTCCTAAAGACTGCCCCTCATTCTCCGAGGGAGTGGTAGGTAGGTTCAAACTGCCCAACTTTCAGTCAGATGAGTGCAGTTCTATTCTGTGCTACAGGGTCACTATGCCTTTGAACTAACTTGCTGGTAAATGAGTCTGATTTGGTTTGAGTCCATCTAAATTTAAATAGCTACACGTGGCTACTATACTGAGCAGTGCAGCTTTCGACAGTAACATGGTAGAAAGTACGCTGAGGTGTGGTGGAGGGCTATGTTTCTGCCCCAGACATAAGCTGGGACGAATTAGGGCAGGGTGATAGCTGACTTCTCTTTAAAATTTAAATCTTCAGAACCCTACTCAGAACTGAAAGGAGAATGAGTGGCCTTGAGCCCAGAAAACAACTCAAGAGGAATGACAGGCAGATGGTGTCCCATAAAAAGCAGCAATCCCCAGAAATTCAGAACAGCTTTTAAAATCAAAATTGTAACTGCAGTCTAATCAGGCTTTAACAACCACTAGTACGGTCACACTGTAAAACACTGAGACAAACAGAGAAGATCAGAGAAGATGGACATTCATGTTTACGGACTTGATATAGAAATTCATGTCAACTCAGAAAGGTCTAACTCTTATAACACACTTCTGTGCAAGGGAGCAGTGGATCGCTCCCGGGGCCGTTCCCACTAACTGGAGACATTTCTGGTCTTCTCAACTAGGCTAGTGCCAAACACCCTACGATGCAAAGCAGCCCTAGAAGGGAGAAGTATCCAGTCCCAAACCCTGCATCTAGGGAGTGTTATCTAAAATGCAGCGGAATGGACATCATTTTAAGATAGTTTCCTCAACACAATGAAATGTGATTCCTTCTCAATCTTCTAGTTTTGATATTTCAAGAAATTTAAAACACTAAAAGAGTAAAGTGCACTGGGTTACTGGTAAACTTATAATAAAATGTTTCAGCTCAGTCATCTGTTCTATTCAGTGGGGCTAGGAGGTGGGCCAGCCTTGACATCTAAGAGATACAAGGCAAGTAGGCAAGTATAAAGAATGAGTAAATAAATGAGGTTTACTAACTGGACTTCTCTCTCCAAAACAACCGGATCATTGTAGCCTGTGGTGTTAGAAATTACAAAGTATCTTTGGTTCCAGACAGAGTTATTTCTCACATCTTCTTTGAGAAGTTGTTCTACATATCGCAGTTCTTCATCCCAAAGTTTAAATTCCTAAAAAAAAAAAAAAAAAAGAAAGAAAAAAGGAAAAGAGAAACAAAACTAATTAGAAATGTCCTATTGTAAACAAACAGTAGGTAAATAAAGGAAATGCATGTAAAGAAGGTAGAACTGAAGTAGCAAAATTTGGCACATACATGGAGAAGTGACAGCTGTAAGTCGGGAAATAGAAGCAGTGTGTGTGAAACCAAGAGTGTCCAGAACAGGAGAAGCAGCAAAGCAAAATAAAAACCACCACAGACCGCCATTGTCAGAGACAACTCCGACTCACAGCGACTCTACAGGGCAGAGTAGAACTGCACCACACACAGGCCAGGTAGCAAAGTGGTTATGAGTTGGGCTTCAAACCACAAGGTCAGCAGTTCAAAACTACCAGCCACTCCATGGGAAAAAGATGAGGCTTTCTACCCCTGTAAACACATAGTTTCAGAAACACCCATGTGCAGTTCTACCCTGTCCTACAGGGTCCCTATGAGTCAGCATCAATTCAATGGCAAGTGAGTTTGGTTTTTGAGTTTATATCCACACCCGCTCCATGTTAAATTTTGAGTTTTTTATTACTTTGAACATTTTATTGTGCTTTAGGTGAAAGTCTACACAGCAAATCAGTTTTCTAGTAAATGATTCATATATGAACTGTACTGTGACACTGTTTGCAATCCCTGCAATGGATCAGCATTCACCCATTTTCCTAGCTGGGTCCCGTTTCCATTGGTCTGGATTCTCTGTCCCTCCCAGGTCTTACACCTTTGGTTTTGGGCAAACATTTCCCTTTTGACCTCGTAGAGCTGTTTGTTCTAAGGCAGTGGTTCTCAACCTTCCTAATGCCGTGGCCCTTTAATACATACAGTTCCTCATGCCGTGGTGACCCCCAACCATAAAATTATTTTCGTTGCTACTTCGTAACTGTAATTTTGCTACTGTTATGAATTGTAATGTAAATATCTGATATGCAGGATGTATTTTCATTGTTACAAATTAAACATAATTAAAACAGTGATTCATCACATAAACAATATGTAATTATATGTTGCAAAATATTTATTTCTAATTACAAATAAATGAAATGTCTTGAAGCACGGTGTAGCATGGGTAACAGTCCTCACACTGGGTACTCGTATGTGGGCGTATGTGCATGTGGGCGGACCACCTGGAGACGGATAGAGGAGGGTGTCTTGGTTCCTAAACCATGGGAAAGATGCGTTTTCTGATGGTCTTAGGCGACCCCTGTAAAAGGGTCGTTCAGCCCTCAAAGGGGTCCTGACCTACAGGTTGAGAACCGCTGGTTTAAGGAGTTCCTAGGTGTCCTGAATGGCCTCCAAGAGTGTCCGCGCTTCACATTAGAAGGATGTTTCAGCATAAGTTTCTAGAGTTCTATATTTTCACCTTTTCTAACCAAGATCTTCTACATGTGAAAGCTGGATATTGGACACTGACTAAAAAACACTGAAGAATTGATGTACTTGAATTATGGTGCTGGCAAACAATGTGGAAATTATCACAGACTGCCAAACAAACAAACAAATCTGTCTTGAAAGGAATACTGCCAGAATGCTTCTTACAGGCAAGGCTGGTAAGATTTCATCTCAGGTACTATGGTCATGTTGTCAGGAGAGACCAGTCCCTGGAGAAGGACATCATGATTGGTAAAGTAGGGGGGTGTCAAAAAAGAGGAAGGTCCCCAACAAGACGGATCGACACCGTGGCTGCAACAAAAGGCTCACGCATAGGAACAACTGAGGATGGCACAGGCCCCGGCAAGGTTTGCTCTTTTGTATTCAGGGTTGCTATGATTCAGAGCTGACTTAGCAGCACCAGACAACCGGGGCCTTCTATTGGCGGTCCTCGTCACATGGACAATCGTGGAAGCAAAGCTGAAAATCTTTATGGAAGCAGACTGCCACATATTTCATTCATGAAGTGGCTTGTGGATTTGAACTGCTGGCCTTTAGGTTAGCAGTCAAGCACTTAAGTACTGCACTATAGGTCTCTTTAATTAGCAGCAAAGTCACAATCTTCTTGCAATACAATTTAAATACCAAGAGGCATGTTCATACTATTTGACCTGAAAATTATTCTAAACAACTAGCTCAAAACAAACAAAAGTATCTACCAAAAGCTTATATAAATTATGTTGAAATCACGAGCAAAACTAAATAAACACAAACTCATTTGTAAGAGTGCAATTAGAGTATATTAATCAGTTTTAACAATACATAAAGCCTTTAAATTTTATGTGAAGATAGCGAAGTAACCAAAGTATGTACAATATTAAATAAAAGGGTAGCATTAAAAATTTAATATAAACTATAAAAGCATACCAAAATATTGCTGAAGATGTATACACAATTAAATTTTGGATACAGAACTTTACATTTTTAAGCTGTCTCATAAAAATGAAATATTGGGTTGTTAGGAGGAAAAGGACCCAATTAAGATAATTTAAAAAATGAATAGGATGGTCAACTGAGAAATACTGTATAAGTCAAAGACTTTCATTCCCCGACCCCAAAAGGCGAATGTAGTTATATATGTTGATAACAGAAAAAAAACTGTCAATATGATAGCTTCAGATTTTAGAGGTAATGAAAAGAATGTATTAAAGATTATACATTTTTGTAACATTTCCCATGTGTTGAGTAGTTTAGTTCAGTGATACTTGCATGGCCAGTGATAGGGGGTTGTCTTTAAGCTGCAGGCGCCAAGATAGCAGGTACAGAAAGAGAGCAAATATTTAGAAGCTGTTAGAATAATTTGATAAATTACTTTTATGTCTACTGAACCCAGTAACAAAAGAACGTAGCACGCTGATTTCTTGCCTGCTGCGTGCATAGGTCTGCTGTGCATCCAAGTAAAACGGACGTCTCGACAACCTCAACCTTCCCCTTGTCATGCTTCTGCTCTCTGGTTCAGTACTAAGAATCTCTGGGTTAGGTTGAGATGGAATCATCGTGAAGGCTGTCTTCTTAGAGTGTCACCAGTGCTTCATTAAGTGCTTCAAGTCCTCCTCACTTTTAGCTGGCAAGGTTGTAAAATGTGCGTATTGCAGGTTGTAATCAGCTCTCCAACACTGTGTTCTTCTTCACATAGGCCAGGTTCTTAGGTTATTTGCTCAGCAAATAGACTGAATAAGTTTGGTGACAACTCTAACACCATCTTCCTGATTCTCTTGCTGTTCAAATGACTGCCTTTTGGGTTATGTACAGGTTTTGCATGAACACAACAAAGTGTTGTGGAATTCTCGTGCTTCTCAATGTTATCCATAGTGTGGGAAGGATCAATGTTAAAGAACACCCAGGGGGGTGGGGGGTGGGTGGGCACCGCTTCACAAAGTTCTTGGAAGAATTCCATTACCTTTCAATTCCATTTTCCACAAACTTTTTGAACGCCCTTGTACAGGCAAGGTATTAAAAAATGTTTCAAACAATACTTCAAACCAAAATTATCTTACAAAAATGTATATTCTATACTGCTTTTTAAGAATGTACTACAGTCTCATTAAGGAGTCCTGCTGACACAGTAGTTAAGCAATGAGTTGCTACCTACAAACAAGGTTCAAAGCTGTCAGCTGTCCCTAGGAAGAAAATGAAACTGTCTGCTCCTACAGAGATTAGGGGCGCAGAAACCCCAAGAGGAAGGTCTACTCTGCCCTCAAGGGTCATGATGAGTTGGAATGGACTTCATGGTAATGGGTTATTTATTTTACATCTCCTTCCATCAAAAATATTCGGAGCATACTGAATTCATTAAAACCTCACTGAAGTAACTCAAAGATTAAACTACAGATTTTCATCTAGAATATAGGCACAAGTTGACTGTTACCAGGTCCTCAGTATTCTAGAAAGCATTACTGACTTTGGGCTGGATAATTCTTTGCTGTGGGAGTTCTCCTGTGTCATATATATATATATATACATATACACACACACA